AAGGGAAGAAGACATTGCCTTGAAGAACTACCAGAGATTCCACTCAGAGTCAGAATGATGCTTAAGCAAAAGAAGATGATAAGAGTGAGATCAAACTTTGGAGGGATCTCAGAAATGTTACTAAGTTTAAAAGGATTTCACTGATGATAATAGTATCTGTACTTCCATTAACACCATAGCCTCCATTGGTTATAATATCTATTTGCCCACTCACCACTTCTTACCAATGGTGATAGTATGTGACACCTGGGCAGTTAAACAAATAAAAATTTTCCAGTAGGCTTCAGAGTACTCTGATCATCCTACTTTGATACAGTAGGGGAGGCACTGCTGTAAGATTGAAATACCAGGAACCAGACTTCTCTCAATGCAAAACCACAAACTGCTTATAAAAAGTAGTACATCAAAGAACATATACTCCGTCTTTGGTGGACTGAGGAAGATGTTGTTCAGTATTTACATTAGTCGGACTATTGTCCTCATCTTTGTCGCCATATTTGTCACAACGTTTCGGCCGTTGTACGCTCCGGCCTTCTTCAGGTGGTTGGAATTTCGAACTGAACTCTTTATTTCGATCACTGGGGTAAACTGTTCTAGTTCCATGTGCCATGTTTGATGGATGTCAGTTATCAGTTATCTCCTGCTAATTTTCCCTCTGAAAGTTCTCCACTGTCTTAACCAGGAATTGAACTCACCTTCTTTGGGTCTGTCACTGGATCTAACCAACGCCTTTATCCACTGTGCCATGTGTCCTTGAGGACACATGACACAGTGGATAAAGATGAGGACAATAGTCTGACTAATGTAAATACTGTACATAATACCTCATCTCAGAAATATAGACAGACTCTGAAGATGTTGTTGTAGGGTTGGAATTCCTGGGGCAAGGCGTTCTTCATTACAAAACTGTGAACATCCTTAAGGAATAGAGAACAGACACTACACTTTGATCCCAAATTTAAGGTCAAGTAAAAGAGATACTTTCCCTATCTTCCCACGGTTGTAGGATATAATTATAGATCAATTTAATATAGAGTGCCATATTTACAGGCCAAAGAAAAACATTGTGCTGTCTCAACATCCATGCCAGTATCAGTATTTGTGCCACATCCTATCTTTGTTGTGAGGCTAGATAAATAAATCCAATATTTGCCAGCACTTCCTGAAGGAGGTGCTATCACAGGGTTGGAATCTGGCTTCTTTCATAACTTAGAAAGAATAGATTCTACACATTAAATCAATCCCAAAGGCTGAGTAAAAGAATGCTAGACTAATTATGACCACCTTGTTTCATATACCATGTCCTTTCAGGATGTGGCCAATTATGGTTCTCCACAATTTCCTGTTTTTCTTGTTGCTCTAAGTAATATTTAACCCTTTATGATCCCATTTTAAATCACAAAGAACAGTACCAAATAACCAAAAACACATCACTTGAGGACTTTCAACTGCAGCAACGACTAAAACGGATAGCACATGTAACTCAAAGAGAAAATACACTTATAAATATTTTTTTAGCTTCATTGTTATAATCTTGATTGATACACTTATTTACACTTATATATTTTACTAATACACTTATAAATATTTTTTTCATTTTTATGATATTTATTAATAGACTTACAAATATTTCTTCATCATTATTATGATCTTTAGTAATAAACTTTATTAATCCACTTATACTTATTTACACTTAAACACTTTATTAATACACTTATAAATATTTCTTCATTGTTATATTTAATACTTTATTTTTTACACTTTATTGATACATTTATAAATAATTTTCATCATTGTTATGATCTTTATTAATACACTTTTAAATATTTCTTCATTATGATATTTATTAATACACTTTATTTTTACACTTATACACTTTATTGGTACACTTATAAATATTTTTTATCATCATTATGATCTTTATTAATACACTTATTTACACTTATACACTTTATTATTACACATATAAGTATCTTTCCTCACTTTTATGATCTTTATTAATACACCTATAAATATTTCTTCATTATGATATTTATTAATACACTTTATTTTTACACTTATACACTTTACTGCTACACTTATAAATATTTTTATCATTGTTATGATCTTTATTAATACACTTATTTACACTTATACACTTTATTATTATACATATAAATATCTTTCCTCACTGTTATGATCTTTAATTATATACTTATATACTTAATTACAGTTTATTAATACACTTATAAATATTTCTTTCTCATTATGATCTTTATCAATACCTAAATATGAGTGACGTAACCTAAGAGATAAGACACTATAAAATGAACACTCCTGCTATTAGTATCCTTTCATGCAAATATACTTAAGAAAGGCATGAGCCCAAATTTCCCTGGGACTGTGAGTTACAGAAAGCTATAGAGAGCAATTCTGAGTAAATCTTTATTTACTTACTAAATTAAGACCAGTCTGATGGTAATGGCAAAATTAGGTATTTTCTAATAAGGAAACATTTGGCATTCATTGACTGAAAAGTTAGACATATTGTCAGTTGAAATTTATAAATCTATTAAAGCTGATTTTCAGGAAATTAGAATTCTCATGTCCATTGTTACAGCTCATACTAATGGAAATTTCCTTCCCAACCTTTTGTTTCTGGTAGTGTGGACAGATTGATTATATCATTATTTTATTTTCTAGTTACACGTACTATCCATATTTGTTGTTGCTACTGTTGGAAGTCTTCAATTGATATGTTTCTTTGCACTTTGGTAAAGTTCTTTGTTCGTAATTTTGTAGCACCAGTCTATAGGGTTTAATAAAGTATCATGTACTTTAAGATTTTTAGGATTAAGTCATTTGAAGCTAAAAATGGCATAATTAATCATATAAAGATTTGAGAAAATAGTTGTACACAAAACCAAAACAGTGAGACACTTCTCTATACTAGCAAAACAGTCTCTATCAGGAGCTTACTATTCATCTAGTAAGTACTTAAGTCTCCATCCCTATTATACAACTTTTGACTGAGAATTATTAATAATGCTGGCTGAGTTACTTAAGAATTTTTAATAAGACAAAAATTGATGGTTATCTAAATATGCTTTTATGGTGCACTGGGAGGGTGTCAGCAGTGTTGCTTTATAACTGGGAACATCAAGGGTTTCAGGTTTTTCAACATCCAACCTCCTTCCCCAGTTAATTTAACCACTGCTGACCAAACCTTTATCCACCTTTTCACAACTAGATATCACTTCATATACCTCCATTTCTACTTTGGTAGCTTGATTGGTGATCCCAAAATTTTATGTTTTAGTGATGTCACCACCAACCAAAGACATTCAGGCACTTATCAACCACTTTCTACTTAATTGTAATTAAACTCTCAGTTTCATTAGCTGCCTTTTTTTAATTTTTAATTTTCTATTATTTTTGTCGGCACTGAAGAAAAAATAATGTAAATAATTCTAAAGCTAAAGAGATGTTTTTCTTTCTTTTAGATCGACTGTGACAAGCAAAGAATCTCAACCAACATGTGACCATGAGAAGTCTTTGGAAATACAGAACTTAATATCAAGAGATTTTTTTTAAGCATTTCACCCCTGACAAAGCAGGAAGCCACTAGTATGCAAGGGGTTACAGAGGAGTTGGAGGAGAGCGAATAGTAATCATAGAGGAGGATGGGGAAGAAGGATGAGTGGATAGATCAAAGGCAACTGGAGATGTTGATTGACATTACATTTGAATAGTTGGAGATTAAAGCTATGAAGGAAACAGGAATAGGGAAGGAAGTTCCACAGGCAAGATGTGCGAGATATGAAACAATTGGAGTAGAAGAGGCAACTACATTTAACAGTTTCAACAGTAAAAGGGTGAGAGCAGGATGCCAGCCTTGTAGAACGCTTGAATTCACGAAGTCTTGGAACCAGTGAAAACAGCTCATCGGAGCAATTACCATGAAAGTATTTGTAAAAAAGACAGAGAGAGGCGACGGCACATCTGTGAGAGAGCGACTGCTGATGAGATGCCAGATAATAATTATTAATAGATAAGATGATGATAATGATGAAGAAGACTAGTTGACACCCAAAGCTAAAAGAGTCCAATGTACTTTGCTATTTAAAGAGATGCATTCATAACTTTTCCAAAGGTATTTATCCAAAAGTGAATTGGGGAGAATTTCAACTTGGCTTGTTGTTCAAATTTTCCATGCCAATAACTGCTGCACTAAGCACACATTGAATGATATGTCTATGTTACAAATATTCTGAGAACACAAACTGCTTATTAGGTGACCTATTAAAAATTGATTTAATTTTTTACTAATGTACAAGGCCCAAGAGCCACTCAAGATAGAGAGTTACTGAATTAAATTGTATGAGTGTAAGAGGAAGAGATAAGAATTGCAGTTTATGATGATGTAGAAAAGATAACAGTTAACTCTAGATTTGAACAGGTTAAGATTGTAGTGATTGGGAAAGCATCCTCTTAGGAGTCTGTTCTACAAAGTAGTGATTCTTGGAAACAAGTTAACTGAGTGAAAATTCCTTCTTACTAATGCAATATGAAGGGTATGGGAATAGTTTGTCGCAGTGTATGTGGTACAGTAGGTAAGATAATCATTGCATAAACAGAAAACGTTCAATAAGCATGTTTTTTTTGTTTTCTTTCTTTTTTGTACCATTTGTGATTCTACAGTACAGCAGAATTTAAACAAGTAGGAAAAAATGTTTCCACAAGTGAAGCCACAATGGACAAGATTTAAGTTTTTGGAAGAAGGAAAAAGAAAGAATTTTCTAGTTTTGTGCAAGTTTTCGCAATGCCACCATTGTGTCAGCAAATAAAACAGTTTTGGCAAAAATAGATGCAGCATGAAATTCTGCATTTTACTGCATTTCACTTTGGAAGGAAATGTAGGAAAAAACGAAAATGGGAAAATTCTTGCTGGTGGGAAATCCTGGTTTCAAAGGGAAAGCAAATAATGGAAACAAAAATGGAAAGTGATGGATTTGGTGTGTCTAGTCACGAGAATTAACCAGGTTAAAAGTGGATATGAAGACAGGAAAGGCGGAAGAATGACACTGGGATAAAGTGCAAGATTCTTTGAGTATTTTTGGAAGAGAGTGAGAGAAGAGGAAAATATAAAGAGAAAAAAAGGAAGAATAAAAAGCTGGGAAGTTAGTAAAAGAGAAAACCAGAGAACAGAAACCAGGGATGAGGAAAACAAAAAGGAAAGAAAGAAAGAAACAAACAAACATAGCAATGGATGATGGAAAAGGATAAAAAGAAAGAGAAATGTAGGAAACAAGAAAGTTAAGAAGAAAAGTGGGGAAAGAAACAGAGTGAAAGAGAAACAAGGATGAAAATAAAAATAAAAAATGAACGAGCTAAGAGAAAAATGAATCAATAATGAAAGAAGAAAAATTAAAGAAAGCAATTTAAAAGTGAATGAAATGAAGGAGTAAGTAAAAAAACTAAAAAGAACAAAAAAGAAAGAATTCAAAAATGGACTATAAGATAAAGCAAACAAAAACTGATAAGAAATGTAAAAAGAAAAAAGAAAAGGAAAGAGTGTAATAACGAAAAAGAAGGCAGAGGAAAAGGAAATAATGATAAAGAAAGAAGGAAAGGAAATAAAAAGCAAATAAAAAGAAAGAAAACAAAAAAGAGGGAGAGGGAAAAAGGAAAAAGAAAGAAAGTGTAGAAAACAAATAAAGAGAAAAAGGAAAAGAAAGGAAGACACAAAAGATGGAAAAGGAAAAGAAAAATGGAAGTAAAGGAAAAGTAAGGAAAGAAAGAAAAGAGAATAAAAGGAAGCTAAGGCTAGATAGAATGAAAGGATTGTAACAAAAAAAGAAAGAAGATGGAAAGAAAAAGATGGAGAAAAGAAAGCAAAGGCTAGATAGAATGAAAGGATTGTAACAAAAAAAGAAAGAAGATGGAAAGAAAAAGATGGAGAAAAGAAAGCAAAGGCTAGATAGAATGAAAGGATTGTAACAAAAAAAGAAAGAAGATGGAAAGAAAAAGATGGAGAAAAGAAAGCAAAGGCTAGATAGAATGAAAGGATTGTAACAAAAAAAGAAAGAAGATGGAAAGAAAAAGATGGAGAAAAGAAAGCAAAAGGCTAGATAGAATGAAGGTTATTTAACAAAAAAAAAGAAAGAAGATGGAAGAAAAATGGAGAAAAAAGAAAAGCAAAGGCTAGATAGAATGAAAGGTTATGACAAAAAAAAAAAAGATGGAAAGAAAAAGATGGAGAAAAGAAAGCAAAGGCTAGATAGAATGAAAGGATTGTAACAAAAAAAGAAAGAAGATGGAAAGAAAAAGATGGAGAAAAGAAAGCAAAGGCTAGATAGAATGAAAGGATTGTAACAAAAAAAGAAAGAAGATGGAAAAGAAAAAAGATGGGAAAAGAAAGCAAAGGCTGAATAGAATGAAAAGGATTGTAACAAAAAAGAAAGATGGGAAGAAAAAAGATGGAGAAAAAGAAAGCAAAAGGCTAGATAAGATGAATGAAAAGGATTGTAACAAAAAGAAAGAAGATGGAAAAGAAAAGATGGAGAAAAGAAAAGCAAAGGCTAGATAGAGATGAAAAATTGTAACAAAACAAAAAAGAAGATGGAAAGAAAAAAGATGGAGAAAAAGAAAGCAAAGGCTAGATAGAATGAAAAGGATTAGTTAACAAAAAAGAAGAAAGATGGAAAGAAAAAAGATGGAGAAAAGAAAAGCAAGGCTAGATAGAATGAAAGGTTAACAAACAAAAAAGAAGATGGATGGAAAGATGGAGAAAAGAAAGGCAAAGGCTAGATAGAATGAAGGATTGTAACAAAAAAGAAAATGGAAAGAAAAAAGATGGAGAAAAAGAAAGCAAAGGCTAGATAGAATGATAAAAGGATTGTAACAAAAAAAAGAAAAGAAGATGGAAAGAAAAAGATGGAGAAAAGAAAGCAAAGGCTAGATAGAATGAAAGGATTGTAACAAAAAAAGAAAGATGGAAAGAAAATGAAGGAAAAAAGGTTAGAACAAAAAAAGAATTGAAACAAAGAAAAAATGAAAGAGTGTGAAGAAAAGAGAAAATATGATCAAAAAATAAAATTGGAGTGTTGAAAATTAACTCTTTTCTTCCAATCATTGCAGACAATAAATGCCTGACATTTGCTTCTAAATAAAAGCAGAAAAAAACAGTAAAAGGTAGCAGTAAAGATTTCTTAAAAGAAACAAAAGAACAAGAAGGAACAAAATTATTTTACAGACAGAGAATAAAATGAAGGATAGAAAAGTTAAAAACTTATGAAAATAATATACAGAAAATGGAAAACAATATGAATATCCCAAATAATTCATTATTTTTATGCTTTGTTCTTTCTGAATGTTGGCGGTTATAGCACTCCACAGCTTCTTTTTCTTTTTTTAATATGCATGAAATGCCATGACTTTTTGGGAAAAGTAATAGAGTGGCATCACATTGTCATTTCCATGGTTGAGAATTCAAAGATTCTCTTTCTCTCTTAGACTGGCTGCCATCCAAGGCTAGAAAATCTAATCTATGCTGTAGAAGAGAAGAGATGAATTCATGTGTTTCCCAAGGGCATAAATGCAAAAAGAATGCAAAAGGCTAGGCTGGAATTTGAATGCAGCTTACCAATTCCAAACACAATACCAATAATGATTACACTACATGCATATCCTTCACAGATAATATCATCAGTAGTAGTAGACGAACACTTATCTTATGAGATAATAGTAACGCTTTGTTTGGTCAAAATTCAGTCTTTTGGTGGTAAGACTGGGATGACTTCTCCAGAGTGGAGGCCTAAGCAATGGTTTTTAGTGTCTATGCATTGCCCAAACTACATGGCCCTCTTCTTGGCTGTATCAACAAGATGCAAAGGATTACAGGACATTACATTTGGGATGAATTGGCTGCAGGAATTGATGAAAATTTGTCAGTGTTGACAGCCAACTCCCTTTGGGGATCCACTCTGGATTTTCTGTCTGGATTTACTTACATCACCTTATCATCAGAAAAAATAAATAACAAAAAATAAAAAATAACATTACTATATATATATATATATATATATATATATATATATATATATATATATATATATACACACACATACAGTTCAAGGTCTAAGCCATTAACATGGGATGAACTTGACAGAAGAGTGAAAAAAATGAAACAGAGGTCTTAGAGTCATTGAAAAAAGAATGGAATCAATCATCAAACATATACTTTGAGAAACTTTTGCAATGAATGCTAAAACTTTGTACTGCAGTAATTGAAGCTAAAGGGGGATATTTTGACGAGAGAAAAATTTAATCCAAAAATGCTTTTAATTGTCATAATAAAATTTGTAATAAAAAGGAAAATCATGTCTCTTTTTTTTAACCATGCATAATAATTTTCTCTTATTTAAAGTGAAAACTACTTTTGGTAACAATTTAAAAAAATTACAGAGAGTGGACTCAAACTTTTGAACTGCTGTAGTGTGTGTGTGTGTGTATATGTATATATATATATATTATTTCAGATTATTTTTCTCAAAAACCCATATCTGGAAAATTTGTTTTACAAAACATGAACAAAGCAATAGTTGTTTTGACATTTCATACACAAAACTTGACCAGATACACACTTTTTGCTAAAATAAATCTAACCCATAGAATATGAAATATATATATATATATATATATATATATATATATATATATATATATATATATATATATATATATATATATTTCCTCATGCTAAGTCAACCTTTAAATAAGATAGGGTCAACAAATATAGTAAATTTAATTTTAATGAATTTATCCTATGCCTGTAGTACAAGACAACTGACATTATTGGAAATGTTACTGTAATAAACAAAATAACAAAACTGATTCTATATCATGTTTTCCTACACATGTCCTCTAAAAAGGAAACCATTGTTTTTTAATGTTTCATCACATGATCTTTTGCGAATACTGAATGTTTTTATTCTTCCTCTTCTTTTCCTATATCTAAACAGTTACAAATATTCTTGTGTACTAATGGCCATTTACGTATACTTCATTGACAATCACAAAATACCGCTAATAACAGTACAATAATGTGCAATAATAACAGAACAATAATGTGCAATAATAGTACATTCCACTTTCAATATCTGTAAAAGGTTTTTTATTTGAAAAATAAAAGTTGTATGTAATCCTAAATTGTGTTATTATTTAACACCAAAATGATGATGAATTTTTAATGAAAAATGAATATTATGTTATCCTAAGTATTATTACTGCTGTAATTAACACTTATATGATGATTATTGAAAGTTTAGTGAATGATAAAGGTTGCTGTGAACACAATCATAACTCAATGCTTACATTTTCTCAGCTTGCATGGATACAAGTTGATTTCATTGATATGGAATTATTCTTTGAATAGGGAATTTATTATGACATTATACCAGTAATTTATTATCAGTTTATTTGATAATGTGAATCTTTTCATGTACATTGGATTTGTGCACTGAAATGAGAATTTAGCCTGGCAAACATCATTCAGAATTCAAGGTTTCTTTTCTATAATTGTATTATATGAAAACCCCCAATTTTTAAGGGTCATTTTTGGGATTTAAAGGTAGTTTTATAAGCAGAAATATATAGATATATATATATCAAGATCTAAAATGTCAGCCAATCTAACAGTGATCTCATTTTACAATCCTCACACTTGCTCCATATGTGGCCTCCTTGCTTTGGCAATCACTAGCAGGTCTTAAATACCACTTGGATTATCAACATAAACTTTCTAACTGAATCAATAATCAGTCAGATCCTCATAAATCCGAAACGAAAGGAGAATAATTGACTATATATATATATATATATATATATATATATATATATATATTACTCTTCAGAAGTATAGTTAAGTTCTCTGAGCCGTTAGCATATTTACCGTTAATATAAGCGTAAAAATTCCCTTCATTTCTGCCGATATCTAACTGATGTTAAATCAGTGAGTTTCAATCTTGGCTTGAAGCAATCGGACATCTAGCCACACTGAAGAGCTGTGATACTTGTTATATTATCATTCTGTAGTATAAAACACATTATGGCTATATATTTATCTGGCCTACATATTATATATATATATTATAACATAAATATAGATGTTACTTGAGACCAAGTAAACTAACAATATCATGTTATCATAACAAAACATATCGGTACTTTGGGTTATCTGTTTGCCACTCAAAATTAATTTTCAACTTTTTCACAAATACAGATGTGAAAAAAATATCCCAAAGATTCATTTAACAATCTGAAAAGAAAAAAAAACAATTAAAATATTTTAAATACATCTAACTTTATAAAAATCACCAATACCGTCAATTAAACCCACAAAATTGCATTTTTCAAAAGTGGGGATAGATAACCCACAAGTACCCAAATATCTATTTGGTATATATAGAAGACCAGGCTGTATTATTTCTTTTGTTTTAGCTTTCTTTGTCTTTTACTTTTTTTTTTAATGATTTAAAAAAATTATTTCTTACATGCAACAATAGAGTTAATTTATGGGTAAAATAAATTGATTACTTAGCACCAAAAAATATAACCAATGCACTTGTAAATTCAAATAGTGTCATCATTCTTTGATGATACATATAATCTTAATACAATAATATTGTTCTACTAGCATCTTTAAATTGTGGATGTACCTATAGTATAATGGTTATTAGTGGGAAGAATGGGATTGGCATACTGAGTTCAAATTCAACTAAGATCACTGCATTTGTTTCTGCAAAATACCAATGGAAAGTCAATCCATCTCCCCTAACAGCATTAAGATTAATAGCAGGACAGACAACTCTCTAGCTTTGGTTGGCAACCAGTCTAGGAAAGATGTTTTAAATTCAGAGCTGAATGGTTGGACATGGAGCTAAAAGTTACACCTGTACAAATGTACTTGTTATGCAAATCCCAGCAGCAACATCTATGATGCTGGGTTATATTCAATAGAGGAATTTAGACTTAACATGTCCCTTTTTGATGATTGGTCTGTGTCTGTAAGAGTTGTTTTGGTATTAATGTTTCTAGAAAAATAATGTAAAAAAAAAAAAAAAAAAAAAATATCGTTGGTGGTAGGCGGCTGTTTTTGTAATGTTGCCAATATACGTTTTGAAAAAAAAAAATGATGTTGCCAACTATACGTTTTTGAAAAAAATGATGTTATATTGTACGTTTTTGAAAAATGTTTACAAACTTATGTTTTAATTAGTGCTATATATTTAATATATATATGTGTGTATATATATATATAAAATATATATATATATATATACCAGTGTTTATATATATATATAAAAATTATATAAGTATGTGTATGTATTAGAAATGTGTAAAGGATTGAAGGAATCAGTCAACAATAATGTTCAAATAATCTGATTGATGTAGGCCAATTTTGATATAGGTCAACAATACCTTGAAGACCCTCTATACATATATATAGGTATTATAATTAATAATAATATATAATATATATATTATATATACTATGTTTATAAATTTCTCAATCATCAGGCCAAACATAATATCAGTTTAATCATATGTTTCCTGTGGATGTTACATGTAGGTGTCATGGGAAGTGGTAGACAAATTAACAGCCACTACCCTCTATCAATTATCAAAACATTCTAACATTATGAGTCTTATATCAAGATATCTGAAAATAGGACAATAGAAGGCAGGAAAACACACATGCTTTTTCAAAAAAGTGTCATCAGTAGACATGTGGTAATGGTTGGAATTTGAACCAGTTTTCTAGTGCCAATAGCCATTAAGTGCAAACAAAAAATCTGTCATGCTCTCTTTAAGTGTGAGTATATATATATGTGTGTGTGTGTGTGTGTGTGTGTGTTTGTGTGACTAAATGTACAGAGATGCGTAAAAATGATTGGCAAAACCTCAAACCTGCTGCTTTGAATAATTTAATATCGGTGGGCGGGCGGATGGTGCATCGGCAGTGGAGTCAACGCTGCCGATAGCAGGCATGCTGAGTAATGACTAATATTTGAATTCCATTACTCCTTACTAAAAGACAGACAGTGGGTGATCCAAAGCCGGCTGCATTGTTGTTGTTGTTGTTGTTGTTGAAGGCAGTTGCAGTAGAAGCTGCATGCGACTGTCGACAGGCACCAATTGTCAAGAGCATGTTTCCAATTCTGTGAGGATGTCTGTGAAACTCTGGGTCCATAAGATGAAGTGGGGTTTTAGATTGGGTGTTGACAGGGGGGATGAAAATATTGGAGAGAATAAGTCAGGAGGTTGGGGAGGTCACAAAGTGAATGATGTACCAGGATCTATTGGAGTAGGAATCAACTCTTTTTCTAGTCTCTTTCATATACATATATATATATATATATATATATATATATATATATAAGGAAGGTTCCAAGTAGCATGTGTGTGTGAAAGAACGGGGTTGGGAAAGCGTATCAATAAAAATTGAGGACAGAATGTCAGTATGTTAAAGAATGTGTGCATGTGTGAGAGTGAGAGATAAAAAGAGTGAGTGTATACATAAATGGGGAGAACAGAGAAATGTATGGCATGATTAAGAATGAGAGAGGTGAGAGAGTGCAATGGAAGCATCAGAGAGAGGTGAAAGAGTGCAATGGAAGCTTCTAAAAGAGAGAGAGAGACAGAAGAGAAGTTTACAAAGAGAAGTTTCCTTGAGTGAGTGTGTGTGTGTGTGTGTGTGTGACAAACAAAGTATCCTTGCATATGAGAGGAGAAACAGTACAGAGAAAAGGAGAGTGCAAAGGAATCATCAGAAAGATCAAGAGAGAGAGAGAAAGAGTGAAAAGAAAGCATCAAAGAGAGTGCAAAGGAAAGAGAGAGAAAAAGAGAGAGTGTGTGTAAGGGAATCACTGAGAGAGAGAGAAAGAAAGAGTGTGTGTGAATCAGAGAGAGAGAGAGAGAGAGAGTGTAAAAAGATATCCGTTTTTTTATAAGACATTTCTTGACAATTCAAAAAAATAAATGATGAAAATGAAATCCTTGATTAATGAACACAAGAGTTTATCTTAATTTTTTCCATCTTAACATTCAATTCGTTTAGTTAGCAGAATAGTTTTCAGAAAATGCTGTAAATAGAAATTGTAACAGACACACACACACACACACACACAACCACAGCCATATGCATGCACACACACACACACACACATGCTTCATTGCTCTTTCTAAGAAAGGCATAAAACTGCAAAGTGGTTTTATACAAGAGACGAGAAACGTTTTAGGAAAGACTAACCTAATTCTGAGAATAATGAGGTTCTCCAATCTTTTTAAAATTCTAAATCTTCTATGTTTCACATAGGAGTATGGCTTGTTGTTATCAAAGACATCAAAGACATGGATTATTTATCTCATCAATATGATTTCTGAGATGTCCACACAGGAGTGATACCGAAAGCAACTACAAGCCAAAAACAAAATTAAAAGCCTGCATTTTAAAAGTGGGGTAGTATATTTTCTATAGGAAAACAAGAATAATAATCCCAGTGAGAATATATATATATATATATATATATATATGTATATATATATATATTAGATACATATACAGATAATATATATTGTATATACACATACATATACACATACATATTATATATATATATACACATACATATACACTATATATATATATATATATGCACACACATACATATACATACATATATATATATATCTACACACATACATATCCACTTACATATATATATAAATATATATACACACATACATATACACATATATATATATATATATTTACACACATACATATACAGACATGTATATATATATATACACTCATACATATACACATATATATATATATATTTATATAGTTATTCATTTTCTTTTATATATATGTAGGTCTGATACATTACACATACATATATATATATATATACATACATATACACATACATGGAATATATATATATACACACATTTGTATATACATACATATATATATATATATATATATATATATACACATACATATATACATGTATATATAGTTCCATTTATATACATACATATACATATATATGTATATATATTACACATACATATACACATACATATATATATATATATTTTGGAATCATACATATACACATACATATATATATACTACACATCTATATCCTTTCACACAACCATATACACTAGTACATTTGATATATATATACACATACATTCCTCCATACATATATATACATATATATATATATATATACATATAGCCCACATACATATACACATACATATATATAAATATATATATACAAAATACATTTTTTTTTATATATATATATATAATATATATATACACACATACATATACACATACATATATATATATTTCTTGGGCACACATACATATACATACATATATATATATATATATATATATATTCAGGTTTACATATTCTATATACTGGTATATATATAGGTATATATAACCCAGTATACACATACATATATATATATATATGGATATATATTCCTACCTTTCCCATATATATATATTTATATATACACATATATATATGTACATATATATATACACATACATATACACATACATATATATATATATATATACACACACATATACATAATATATATATATATATATATATATATATAGAGAGAGAGAGAGAGAGAGATTGATAGAGTGTCAGATAGAGAAGGAAAATTGAAGACTTAAAAAGAAAGCAACTTAATTCTCCATCAAATAAAAACAACATATACATATTTCTTAGTTAGACCTCAATCAATAGATGATCTCTTTTTATTTTTAACGTTTAATGTCGGTCATTTGGTAAATGGTGAAATCTCTGAAAAACGGATCTCATTAGTTTTCAGATTCGTGTTAACCATTTCAAACCATTTCTGACAGGCCTATTAAAATCAAAAGAATCTGTTCAAAATAAAAAATAATGA